TTCCTAAATTCTCATGACGGAATTTTTGAATGTTCATCACTAAGCATACTGCCACCGAACCTCAAATATCTACAAAGCTTAACTAAACTGATCTCGGACGAGTTGATATACGGGGGCTACCTCTACAAATAAACTGTCGTTTCCTTTTCACATAACGACTCGTTTTAGGACATCCCGTTTCAGATGAATTATACAGTTACGAAAAGAACTTTGAAGAATTTCCGACAATCCCAGACTTGCGAGGAAGACGGCGACACAATCGTAGTCACTATAGTGGTCTTTGTTTCGCGCCACATAGAGTTTAATATTTATTAAGCAACGCATCCGCTTTTTCACCGTAAATAAACGTTGTTAAATAATAATAGACTGTTTTAAATTAAGCCGCCGAAGCCTATTTTATAATTAGAATATATTTTTGGGATTACTTCTAAGCGCCGCGGTTCATTTTTACCGTTTCCCAAAAACATATCTTACGACCAAAAACGAATCAAAAATAACGTCAAAGGTATATCAGCGTGAATGCGTTAAAAATATACGCGCGAGATTGGAAAAATAAACTGGTATTACGTAACCTTGTCTTATATTCGTGGATCCTGGTTTATTTAAAAAGTGAACGCAAAGCAGACCTTAGAGGTTAAATAGATTTTGCTTAAAGTCGATGTTTGTTTTGTTACACGGGCGACAGCGATTTTACGAAAATTACCAATAAAACTACAATGGCAAATTAAAAACTAAAATACTACATTTGGTCTGATTAGTTTTAAACGAATCACAGCTATTTACACCCTGAGATATAAAAAATAATGTTGATCATTATTATTAGGAACACAATTTCTTGGCATCAATTGAGAATAATTCTCCCACTAAATTAAGGCGATTGCAGATATTTTGACTTCACTTTATCTTTATATTATCTTTTTGTTCCGTTAAGACAAACCTAGGACAAATGGAGTCGACGGGCAGATGCTCTGGCGAAATTTAAAAAAAGGAAAAAAAAGTGCTTTTAAGTAAAAAATAAAATTGAACATTTCAGTCAAATTGACTACTTTTTTTTCTTTTATTGTTCTTGTTGTGTAAATTAGGATGTGCAATTTGCTATCCACAGGAACGATTGTGATTGATTAAACTTCTACCTTGGCGTAGCTTGTTGCCTCTGGTTTGGTTACACTGAGCAGATAACAACACTCCCATTAGAATTAGAAGCTTCTTGAGCGGGCAGTGGCCGCCCAGTAGACCCACCATTATCCTTACGACCTCCGAAAGATTCCTGAAGAATTTCTTGACCTGTCTCTGTGATGGTGTATCTCTCTACCATTGGGGGATCTGTTTCCATCCATTTTTCTATAACTGATTTTGCAATGGGTTTAGCCACCCCACAAAAGACTTTTGTGCATTGGTTGGCATGACAGGTCACTTTATTCTGCTACTAAAGCGTAATTCAATAAGGGTTTCCACATTAAAATAATAAAAAAAAGAATATAAAAACATACAAACATTTTTATTTGCCATTTTAGATTAGTGTATTACAATTAGGTACGAAAGATGATGTCATTCAAATGACCTCCGCGACTCATGTGGAATGACGTAATTCGTTTATTGAAATTTCCTATCACTTTTTGACACAATTCAGGTTCTATGCAGGCTATTTCGCGTCTAATCTCCTGTTTCAGCTCTGGAATAGTGTTTGGTTTATTTCTATACACTCTGCTTTTCAGATACCCCAAAAAAAAATCTAGGGCAGCCAGACCAGGAAACTTGCCCCGCAGCAATTGCATCGTTTCTCTAGATGTGTGCTAAGTAGCTCCATCCTGTTGGAACCACAAATCTTCAATGCTTCCAACTGCTATCAGAAAAAATCAGATATCATGTTTCAATAGCGAATACCATTAACCGTAACAGCGTTCTCCGCATTATCCTCGAAAAAAAAGGGCCAATTATTCCTCCGCACCAAAACACGCACCAAACAGTCACTTTTTGAGAATTCATTGCTTTTTGAACAATCTCTCTTGGATTTTCTAATCGCCAAATACGAGCATTGTGTTTACAAAGCCACCAACGTGAAAATGTGCCTCATCGCTAAAAATGATTTTCGTTGAAAAATGAACCCACCCCTTGTTCTCGTATCCATTCTGCAAACACGCGGCGCTGTTGATGATCTCGAGGTTTCAACTCCTGAGTTATTTCGACTTTATATGGGTGTAGATGCAAGTCTTTTGTTAAAATTCGTTGTGTGGTTGAATACGTAAGGCCCATTTGCTGCGATCGATGACGAATCGATGTGTTTGGATCTTCGGTTACACTTTCGCGAACAATGGCAATATTTTGATCTGACCGACCTACACGGGCACGTTGAGGGATTTTGAGGTTAGTTACAGTACCAGTTCGCTCAAATTTTTGAACCACATTCCAAATTGTCCTCTCAGAAGGTCGATTTTGCGCGCCGAAAAATTCACGTAGAGCCCGAAATGCATTTTTCTTGATCGACCATTTTCGTAATAGGCTTGCACAATTTTCACACGTTTTTCAGTCGTATATTGCTCCCTGACTAATTTTGTTTATGTTTTGAGATTAGAAATCATATGATAATAAACAAATACAGTGGCGTTTCAAAAATATTTCAGATTGTAATGTGGGAACTCTTATTGAATCACCCGTTACTATCTTATGGCAATCTAAAACTAACGTGGAAATTATTTTATTTGACTGTCGGTATGGATACCAATTGCTTTATGACGAATCCTTTTCGTCCTTATTTCTCTTACATCGTGTTCTCGTAAAAGTGATCTTGGAATAAAAATTTTTCCAGATATATTCCTAGACCTTGAATTTTTGCGCATTCTTTGACCCAGATTATTTCTTTTGCTTTTGCTTTAACTTTAACTTCGCGTCCATTTCAATGAAAAAATTTTTATCGAGAAAATAAGTTGAATAAGAGATTCCACGCTTCGAGTCAACTTAACTATTTTATAAATAAATATTACAAATATCCGCTAATTTCACGCGTTATCTTATGGGTATTACTGCAGGTGCATGTAATTAAGTAAGGCGCGTGCATTGGGCTGTAAATTTCGCTAATTTTTCCGACACATTCCCCTACTCGGATTTTTTTTAAACAAGTTTAATTGAAACTGGTTTAGTATCTCAATTCGAGGCCATCTAACTTCAAAAAGGACGAGTCGACTTTGCGTATGGTACACTGCCGTCACACATGGTAGATACAAGAAAAAAAATCAAAAATGTATTGACGCGGTAATTTTTTGAAAAATATACCCATATTAATTTTATTCGCTAAAACTCGAAAACAGCAGAACGGATTTAAATTATCTTGTCTTGAAATGTTCGTGCAGGTCTAGGCAAGGTTTAAAAGGTGAGAAAAATTATAATAATTGCCGGGAAAACACAAAAAACGGCCCTTTTCTTTTTCTCATATAAACGACGCATTAATCCACGAGCTGCAAAGACAGTACGACATTGAAGCATTGGCCGAAACAGTTCGTACAAATGTTCCACAATTAAATCAACAACAAAGAATTGCGAACAACACTTTGATAGAAGCTGAGACGATCTTTTTTTGTCAACATCCCACGTTTTAAGGTACCAAGTTTTCGAATATTTTCAATACTGCACGTCGGTGGTTTAGGTCTTATTTATCGATTGAGGCAGTACGAAGTCTGCCCGGTCTGCCAGCTCTGTACAAAAATATAGGGTGTTTCATTTAAAATTCCGATATAACTATTGATCTATTATAATCTCGCAAAACAAATTTGAACAAGTGATTTCTAGTTCCTGAGTACTTTAATATTATTACTATTACTATTATTTAGTCAACAATATTCGGTGCCACTGTGCGTCATTTTTTTTTAAACGCAGCTGGTATAGAGATGGAGAACGGTCCCTCGTTGTCGCCGATCTTTTAAGCGGTAGCGCGTGGTAACTTTATTACTTGTGATAAGTGTCCGTCTGGCCGTTTCGATATCTCGTTAACTACCGATTATATTGAATTACATAAAGGCATTTCCGCGACGGGATTCTTAAAATTTTGCCACACACAGGATATTCCCACGCAGCAACGAATAACCGATCGAACTAGAATATGGAATATTCCGTCAAAGCTGTGACGTCGTTTCAAATCGTTGATTCCCTTAATGAATTGCTCTTGCCTCACGACACAGATAAGATTTAAAAACAAATACGATAGGAGATAAGGTTCATATACATATTTAATAGAAAATACAACAAAATCGATCTAATTCTTACACAAAAAAAAATTGGCAATAATTCATGGCTTGACATACAAATATCATTGATAACAGGGATAAACTCAATTAGATATTGTTAGTAACAATGCTATATATGAATCATGGTTTTACATTCATATTATAACGTAGATGGCTTGACTTATTTCAGATGCTTCACTAATTTCACTCCTTAATAACTTGTTAAACTCTGTAAGATTCTGTGAAAATTACTACAAACACAGTGAAAGGTTACCGACTATATAGTCTGGATAACGGGATGCACCAGAATAAGGAATAATGAATAAGCTGACCGCATAGCGCATGTAGGTTTCGGATAAGGAATTACTCTTGAGACAAGAACAAACACAATGAAAATTTAATTCTTAAAACCAAAACTGGCACTAAATCCAGACAAGAACAAACAAATTGAAAATTGCAAAAACGTGGAATCATTTTTAACAAGAATATATGAGTTTTAACTAAACAAATGTCATTAATCAAAAAATATTATCTTATATCTTATAACAAAAAAAAATCTATGCATTATTCATAAAGCAGGAATTAAATCACATTTCTGCTTATATTTTGGAAGCACGAAATTGAAATTAAACGCCATAGAAGTAGCTGCGCAACAGTAGTCCCTTTTAATTACTTATTGTCCCCCATTAGCGTCGCCTCTGATGCGTTATGCTGAATTTCTTAACTGCTGTTTTCCTTGCAAGGTTATGACACTTTCTAATTTCAGTTTTTATTTTGTTGCAGATGATGAAACACGTGCAGCTGTCTCCCTACAGGAGCAGAGCTGATACCGTGTCACTCAGCTCGACGACTTCCTACGGAAGTCTCAGTCCTGAACCCTTGTGCAGTAGATCGTCGAGTTACTCATCGTTAAACGAATCGTCACTGCAGGTAAATTTTTCAAATATCCGCAACCCTGCAGAAACATTAAAAAATACACGTATTTTAACAGCCAATTGTATCGAGGGTTGAATAATCTGATTGGCATTTCATAATTACTTATTGTTTAGAAGTGGTATTTGCGAAAAACAAGCAGCGCATTTTTTTATAATAACGCAGTTCTTAATTGCCGTCAAAAAGGTGTTCCTTACTTTATAAACATCTGCCCCGCATCAACGGCCCATCAGTCTTAGACTTGAGCCTGATGCCCTTCTGGTGCCCCCGCCGCTAACTCGCTAATCCGGATGTAATCACGCTATTAATAGCAATCAGCTCGTGCGCAGATGAAGGATAAAACAATGCTAACAACGTCATTAATCTATCTTTGTCGTAGCGCCGAAGAGTATATTGTTTGTCAGATACCCAATTTTTGATATAGAGAATAAATCGATTCGATACTAAAACGAGCAATTCATATTTGTCTGCGAGGGATTTTTTTTGCTGCCGTTCGGGTCTTACGATTGATCAACGACAAACTTTGAAGTTTGTTTTCATTTATCTTGTTTAATTGAACCAACCAAATAAAATTCGTAAGATAAAATGAGACAGACCCATAATAATCTTTGCATGAAAAAAAATCAAATGACGCCTCATTGAATTCAATTGTAGTTTTAAAAATTGTCAGTTAATTTTTTTTTTAAACCTAACCATTTTGACGCAAATCGGCCTTAGCACGAGTACTAAAAAAATATGAACAAAATTGGAGTTGCATCTCAAAATACTTCACGATCACAGCCTTAGGGTATAAATCTATAAACCATGCATTTTATAAAACTTTGAAAAATTAGTCTCTTAAAAGTATTAACAAAATTTGAAGATGGATAACTTGTTCTTTATTACCGAGATTTTATTTTTTTTTTGGCAAAGTTGAAAGAAAATCACCCGGTTACATCAATGAACATTCCTGCTTCAGTCCTTGCTTTGTTCAATAATTTGTAACCTTGAAACAAATCAAGATATCAGAATTAATATAAAATCAATATATTAGAGAATCAACCTAGTTGAATAGAGAAAAGTTTCGAGTAACAGGTTAAAGCTTAAACTTTAGTTAAATAAGAACAAACGTTGTTCAGATTTTCACATAAATATATTTAAATGACAGCTGTGTTGAATATATTTCTATGATTCCAGGGACATCCTGATTAACAGCTAACTCAGATAATCTTAACCGGTTTTAAAAAGTTTCGATTTGCAGTTGCCAGTTTTTTAGATTTTTACAATTTCAAATGACAATAAGGAAAAGCAATTTTCTGGTTTTTCGGATCGCCAAGCAAAAAAAAAAGTTTTAACTGGTTTAACTGGTTAATTATTTTGCAACGTTTTCATAACACAACATTTTGAACCTGCACATCTAGCGATATTATTGTATGCAATCCTTTTAATACATTTTATTTATTTTTTCTAATTTTGAATGGTGTATAGGAGAAAATAATACTTCAATATTAAATTAATAATTAATATTAATATATAACAAATATTTTTTATCACAAAGAATGTAAAAAACAATTATTTATTTTTATATAGTCCGAGTTAAATCGTTCGTAATAACGAAGCAAATCAAGATTATTCTTTACAGGTCAAAGTCAAGCATAATATAAATCAAGGATTTAATAATAACGCAATCAACAATTATTATTAACAACAAGAAACTACCCTATCGATTAATTCACTAAACAGTAACAATAAATATCCGTTTAAAACATTATCTTCAAACAAATATGTTGAAAAAAAAAAACTGAAAGAAAAGTTTAATTTTTTCAACTTCTCCATACGCAAATGTATTCTTCCACTGAAATAGTAACGACCACGAAATCAAACAAAAAAAACCATAAAACTCACAATACATTATTAAGTTATGAAAAGACTTTCTTATAAGGCGACCCACTATTTCATACGCCAGAAGGCAGAGTTAATTTTTGTGGGAAAAGCCGTATTAAATCTCACGTGTATATCTATATACGACGTCCTTCTTAATCACCTCATTATTGTTCGACCTGTTCAACATTGTTAACAGTTAGCCAAGGAGACGTTTTAAACGCGCTTACTGCGAAAGGCGAATTGTGAACTTTTTGTGCAGATAAAATTAAATCCGCGTAGCCGACTGAAGTACGTAAAACATACAAAACTTTATTCCCTAGCTCTTGCGACCTCATTAACTGTAGTTTGCATCTACCCAGAATCGTTTCTTTTTATGTTGTTCTCTTTAATATATTTGTCTTAAGATGCCTAATTGGAGTAGTTAATTGCACAGATTCTTAAAAATTGGAAGACAACTTGCGCAATCCTTAAGCAAATTTTGTCCAGCAGTATATAGCGATTTGAAATAATCGCCATCTGAGCGCACGCTCTTGCCTTAGAATGTGCAAATATCCAAATTTATTTAAATAGGGTTTTCACGATTTTTTTACACTTTAAATTAAATTATAAATCTATTGGTCTTTGTAGCTAAAGCCATGAGTTCTATTGTTAAATTCATTTGTACTAACGTGACTTACTTACTTAAAAAACGGATTTAATGCAATCTTTGATATGCATATGTAAGTGTATTGCTTTAGTACTAATCATGGATTTTGTAAAATGCGCGAGAACTTATAATCTTTTTAAAACTTATGTAAAGAGTGTTTTATGAAAAAGCAGTTTTTTTTTTCAAAAAAACTTCCACAGGCTACTGTAATACTTTTTACAAAACTTCTGGATTCCTCCTGCGTCGGTTTTTGCTGAAGTTTTGTAAAAAGTAAAAAGTTGTTTAGTTAGATTACAAAATATTAATATAAATGACGTGAATATTGAGATCTTTGACTGGCATCCACTCAGCCTGGACCCTAACCCTATAGATCATTTGTGGGAATAAAACAAGAATTAAACATCTGGTTGGAAATACGATTTTGAAGTCGATTTTTATCGGTTAGAGGAAGAAACGACATTTTTGAATTTTAATTTGATTAACGTTTATGATTTTGTTTCAATTTTTTTCTAATAAACTTTAATTGAGATAAAGACATGAACAAAAAAACGAAATGCTGCAAAAATATGGTGTTATGTGACATGCAATGAGTATAGAACAGATTCGCTGCACATGCCTAAGACTTAAAGACAATTTAAAAACATATCCTAATCGAGTAAGCCGTTCGCGAGAAAATTAACTTCGGAATTAACCGAAGTGGTACGTGTGGTACTAACCAATAAATGATCTCAATCCTGTTTATATATTAAATAAATAAATTTCCTCAAGCATTTTTGCCTAAAACTGCTAGGCCTTTAAGTACAAAAAATAGATTCATCTATTTAGACGAAACCAAATTGACCGATACGTGTGCAAAATTTAAAGCTGATTTAAAGCTCCTGTAGCTACACACGTTTTTCACTCAAACATACCGTAACGCCAAGTCCAACCGGTCCACATCCTTCCGCGTGATTGGTGAAATGGCGAAGAATTTTATCGTAAACGTATAAAAGCGGTGCCATTCATAAAAATTCAAACATCCTTGCCAGCGGGTAAAATGTCGCGCACGGAACAGTTAGTCGTATCGAAATGTTAATAATATACTGACCGACACGATATTGATCAATAAATTCGGTTGGGCAATATGAGACAGGATGTGATAAACACGTTTAGAATTGTCCGAAGTTTATTTTCTATAACCCCGGTACGTGACATTTGATTTATAAGCTGACAATTATCGTAGCAATTCGTATTTTTGCAAAAAAAAGCATCTCAGAATGTAATTTTTCTTCCTGGGCAGAGCATAACTTAAGCAAAGCCTTAACTCCGCCAGAGTAAGAGCTTTGAAAAATCTTGAACAAACCACTCGTTTTCCCACTATTTTGGCGATAGAATGGATGCCACAATCACTTTATTTACTAAAAAAATTTGAGTTGAAAATAGCCTTTAAATATCATAGGTATAACGGGAAGCGTTGATCTGATCATTCTATTGATGAGTGTACTTTCTAAATTTTTATTACTATTTTTGGTTAATTTTTCAAAGAAACTCCCACAGGCTACTGTAATACTTTTTACAAAACTTCTGGATTTCTCCTGCGTCGGTTTTTGCTGAGTCGAACTTGCTGACGTTTCGCCATTCATCCTGTTTGGCTTCTTCAGAGTTTGACTGAAACTGGCTCGCATTTTCCTCTCTACCTGCTTACATCACCATCCGGCCCAAAAATCATAGGTTATCAACTCTCTTGTTTACAGAGCTGTAAAACTGTCTCAATCCGAGTCACTGAACCCAGAATTAAAACACCTTACCTCTGCTCTTTTCGCTAATAATTTCCACATTAACAATGAGCCCGAAAGCAATCCTACACTTGCCACTGTGGTCCTTCCTTACATTCAAAATATCACTGACCACATATCAAAAGTTCTAAAGAACTATAACGTCAAAACCAGATTTACCACTTGTCAGCTTTTGCCGAACACAATTACGAAACCGGACATAAAATTTTATTCGATAAAATTAAAATTCTTGCATGTAATCAATTCTTCTACCAACGAAAAATCCGAGAGTCTAAAGAAATCTATAAACAACCTAACAATCTTAACCGCGACTCAAGTCATTACACGTCACCAATATGGAAATCAGTCATCCGAGACGGTTTATATGGCCCTCATTTAGCTCCGCCCCCCTCAAATTTTGTAAAAAGTATTTTTTTTAATTATCACTTTGGCAAACAAAATACGCGCTTCACAAGTGAATATATTCAACATGACATTTTTTTTCACTTGAATGAGAAATGTTTTGGCGTATTGATTGCAGTAAAATTATCTATATCTATATCATTCTGTAGAGCATGTAAATGAGCAATGAAAAAAATGTTGCGCAGCGTCGGACAGGACATAAAACAATGATACTGATATTATAATTATATAATATCATTAATTTAATTCTTCTTTCAACACGGTTTCCTATACGGTAGGCTTACGCCTGTTGATTCTAGTGAACCTTCTCC